TATCTCGAGGTGATTCTCGATACACCCCATTATCCCAACCTTGATACTCTATCCCCTAGTCGTCCTCTCGGGGGAAGCCCCTGCCCTCCCTTTCAGTGGCCTCTTCCTGCCCCACTCGCCCTCCCGCAGTGCCGGAACTGTGACTACCAGCAGGAAGCCGACAACAGCTGCATCTACGTCAACAAAATCACGCACGAAGTGGAGTGAGTGCAGGACCGGACTTTAGGGACGGGGTTCTTGGAGCCCTTATCAGAGCATAATTATCCACCCTCTTCTCGCTCAGCGAACTGACCCAGATCATCGCCGATGTGTCCCAGGACCCCACGTTGCCGCGAACCGAGGACCACCCGTGCCAAAAGTGAGCGCGCAGCTGTCTATTCCGGAGGGAGAATGGCTCGTCCGGCAGAAAGGGGAGGAAGGGGGAGGGAAGGGTTTGGTAATTAAGTGGCTAACTGTCTCCTCAGGTGCGGCCACAAGGAGGCGGTATTCTTCCAGTCCCACAGTGCCCGTGCGGAGGTGAGTGGCATGAAGAAGGCGTTCTGTCTATCCTGTGTCCTTGGTCCTTCCTGGGAGCGGGGATACCAATACTGAGGGGAGCCTGCCCCTCCTGGCGTCCTGAGCTGGGCCCTTACTAGTGGGAAGGGCCCCCTGTCTGTTTTTGTGGGGTGAGGCCCTGCTGGATGGACCTTCCATGTTGTGCCCTCCCTTGGGTCCAGAACCTTCCTAACCTTGCATCCTTTTTGCCAGGACGCCATGCGCTTGTACTATGTGTGCACCGCCCCTCACTGCGGCCACCGTTGGACCGAGTGAACCACCCTCCCCCTCGTGGAATAAATGCTGTGTTCTGTGAGTGCCTGTGCTGTTTATTTTATTTGCCTCTCATGGATTGGACACCGGGTGCACAGTCTCAAGCAACGCAGTGCAGGGCCCAGTGCTGCGCCAAAGTGTTGGCCTCGAACTAGCGAAGCCACAGATCTTGCACACATGTAACTTCTCACGGAGCTCACGGTAAGCAGTAAGCGTAGCTGGCTGGCTGACCGGCCGTGCACCTTGGCAAGATGTGTTTCAAGCTATCAGTGCTATGTAAATGCTTTCCCACAAACTCTGCAGTGGAATGGATGGATCCCTGGGCAGACAGGACAGACGGAAATGACCTCCTGACCAAAGCCAACCCACATTGCACCCTGAGTGTTTCCCCATTTTTACTCCAAGTGCAGCTTCTACCCCACCATCTGCAGCCTCAGTACAAACGTGAGCCAGGCACCTGTGTCCTCCTCACCAGGATGTTCCCCTGGAGCCAGGAGGGCAGAGGGAGGCTTCCCTTTGCACCCTTCAATTTGGGACCTCAATCCTGTAACCAGTACCTGTCTTCACCCTACACCCCTCAGCAGGCCCCTACCCTGGTGCTACATTACACCCATCTGATTAAGTATGTGATGTTCCAAGCTGAGTCTCTCCTCCACAAACACAAACAAATGAAAACTCTATATCTAAGGCACCTCCCTCTATTTTGTTCCATCCCCACCCAGGATCCAGTAGCCCCTCTATGTCCTTGATGCTGCTCACTGGTGTGAATCCTCATGTGAGGTCAAAGGCATTGTGAAAGCCCTTACCACAACAAATCACTATCTACTTGTTGGTTGGAATTCTGCCCCACAGGACAGAGATCCCTAAGGGCTGCCCACCCTGGGGAAATTGTGCTTGGGATGAAGCCTAACAGCTCACTACTAAGAAAGAAAAGGCATTCCCAGCAGAGAGATCAATGGGTGGAAAGGTCCTGAGGCTGGAAGGACATATGCAATGGGCTTGGGGAGTAAGGAGTAGTCAGGTTCTGTTGAGGCTGAGTGGGCAGGGGTGAAACTAAAACAGGAATTTTAGGGGAATATAGGCAGGTTTAGGAAATTTTTAGAATTGGGGTCCATGGAAAAAACATTGGGCTACAGATGGGGGAGAAGTTACATTTCCATAAGACAAGGAAGCCAGGTGCAGTTACATTTCCATAAGACAAGGGAACTGGAACTAGCCAAAAGTCTATAAAGAAGAAGAAAGAACGCCTAGGAGACAATGAGGGAGGAGGGCCTCAGAAGTCACTATAGTAACCAATTTGAAAGGGAATATTGATCAATCAGAGGGGATATCAGGACACAGGAACTGCAGCCTTTATAAACCATGGAAACAGGAAGTGTGTGGGTCTCTTTCCCACTCCCCTCGGGGGAGTCCATTCTGTGGGACTCTGTCCTCTCCCCATGTGGGAGTCTGTACTTGTTCATCAATAAATCTCCACCTTTGCTATACTACCCACTGTTTGTGGATTCATTCTTCAACTCCAGCGGACAAACAATCCAAATTCCAGTCCAAAAATTCTGTTTCAAAACTGAGCAGGGTCTTGTGGGCCACCTGCAGACTCACTGCTGCCCAAGACTCCTCAAGATTGGAAGATTGGTGTGCTGGTAGCCCCTGCAGGCTGCTGCAGTCTGGGAAGAGAAGCCAGACGGTGATGTTTTGTGTCTTCACTGCCCCTCATCTCTGGGCTTAGTAAGGGGCCCACCTGGGACATAGGCATCTCCCCAGAGTTGGTCAGGCAGGTAGTCCCAATTAGGTGTTTGCAGACGCCTACTCCTGACCAGGAAGACATGGGGCATCACCTCCAGGAATGGTAAGATGGTTACACACACACACACTGGGGCTGTCTCTTTCACCTGCTGTCAGACCTCACCAGCATGATTATCCCAGGTGGAAAGGGAGAGGGCAGCCATGAAGGAGCTTCATTCTCTCAATGCAAATTTCATGACAGGCCCAGGGAGCAGACTTCCAGTTACCTGTGTCTTGGGGCCTACCATTCCTTCCCTTCTATGACAGATTCCTAAAGGTACTCTCCAGCCTCCAGGGACAGACAAGCTCTAGGACCCCCAAGTAGGTCAAGCAAGGGCAAGACTGTAGCCTAGGAAGCTCTTGGGGATGGGGAGAGGAAACAGAGACCCTAAGGGTTCTGAGTGTCTTCCCATAGTACCAACAGGGCTGAACACCTAAGGGTCTGTTTGCCAGGCAACATCCTACTTAGTTATTCAAATCACAGTAGCTGTCCGAGGAAGCAGGGGAGGGGTGACTGATTACTTGCTTCAGAGGATAGAGGGACAGCAGGATCTAATAAGTAAGGACAGAGTGAGGTTCCAGGCTGTGCATTTTCAAGCAGGATCTCCACCTTTTTGATCCTCAGATACCTAGAACTGATGTTCAACCAGAAGCACACTATTAAGGTGTAGCAGACATTAAAATACTGGTTAATATCCAGCTCCTAGTGACTGCCTGGGACAGCTCTCCTTCAGTCTCCGCACATTTCAAAACCATTGCCAAGGACCTTACCTCAGCACTCTGGCTAAGCTGTATTCTAGATTGGTCATTGGACTCTTAACCAGGGGTTAAGGATTTTGAACATTCCTCATGCCGTTGTTACTCACCCAACAATTTTATGAACTCCAATTACAGACTATGTCTAACTCAGCACTGAAAACAAACACATAGCTTAGTCCTTGAGGGAGACACACCAGTGACTGACTGCCCAGAATGACATGATGGGTGAAGCGGAGGCAGAGTGATCTAAACTGTGATGGGGAGAATCAGGAGGGGGCCACTCCTGATCCAACCTAAGGGTTGAGGAATAACTTCCTGGGTATGAGCCCTGAGGGAATGAGGATTGGGATGAAAGGGGAGAGTGTTCCAGACAGATGAAACAGTCTATATAAAGGCTTGGTGGTGAAAGAAGCAACATTTATTCACAGTCCTTATAGTCAGTCCTGCTGATTCATTTGGGGAAGCAAGTGAGGCAGTGCTGAGTCTGCTAGCCCAGAGCTTTGCCAATGTGTCTCTGCAGGATCTTGGACTAGTAAGTCTCTTTCTACCACTGGTTTGTGTTAAAGATCCATGCAGAGCATGAGGGGAGAATGCTGGCCATGGGATCTGGCATGTGGCAGACATATAAACAGAAGGGTTATTAGGAAGTCTTGAGGGTGGGTAGCTAGGCAAGCATCTGAGTTTCAATTGAGCTGCCTGTATGTGGAGAGCAGCTACAGTGTTTGGACAGCTTCAAGCCTCAGACTAATGAGAGGGCACGGTCCTCTCATGGCCAAACCGCATGCAAATCCTTGTTTGGAGGGCAAAGCCCTCCCAGCACAATTATAGCCAAAGGCTATAGTTGTAAGCTTGACTTTATGGTCAGAACCTGTGGTCCTATGAGGCTAAGTGATATAGGCTGCAGGAGGTGCAACTAGTAAACAAAGCTTGATCAGGTGCATGTACCGTATTTGCCGGCGTATAAGACAACTGGGCGTATAAGACAACCCCCTAACATTTCCACTCAAAATACAGAGTTTGTTATATACTCACCGTATAAGACTACCCCCTCTTCCGCACACCTTCCACACACCAAATAAAAGGTAAAACAATATCAGATTTGATTTTAACATTTTAATTTATATTCAAATGCTTATGACATGCAGGAAAACTGTCACAAGGCTGTATGTAATCAAACATATACATAAAACAGTGCAAGTTTATTACCGGTAAACATACCGGTAATTCACTAAAGAAAACACACTCTATAGACTGGTACCGTAGATGCTTCTCAGGAACACAGGCAAGCAGCCCACAACCTAGAGGGACTGTCAATGATAGAAGAAAGAT